TTCGAGAGAAGTGTGGCACATTCGTTGTTTGGTGTATAAAAGGGAGGGCTTGGGAGTGATTTTAAATCATAGAATTTCATCAATTTGAAGCTTTTACGACGACGCAAATGGCTCTTTTGGCTTTTCCATTCCCTTCAAGGTGGCATAGTTCACCGACTGAAGGTCGAGGTCCTGTAGTTGGGTTGATGAACCGACTGTTGGAGGATTTTGATCGTTCACTTCAACCGTTTTGGGAGTGTGCTATCGCGGATGAAAACTCTTTCGGCAAGGTAAACATCTTCCTTCACCTTCCTTTCACCCCCTTTCGCTGGTTAATTTTCATTTCTTTTTTACTATGCTATTATCTCATTGATAAAATATCTTTTAGGTTATTGATGACAAAGAGAATTTCGGTATTCAGCTGGATGTCAGCCATTTCCGCCCGGAAGAATTGTCGGTGAAGATGCAGGATGGAAAACTGTTTGTTGAAGGTCATCATGAAGAGCGAAATGATCAACATGGTTCCGTGGAACGACATTTCATCCGGAAGTATACCATCCCAAAGACTGTGCTGCAAGACAGTTTGGAATCGCAGTTATCCGATCAGGGAGTGCTCCGAATAACCGCTAAGAAGAAAGCTATTGAAAGTTTGCAATTTAAAAATATTCCAATCCAGACGCATCCGAAGAAAAGTGATAAACAGTAATCGGTTGTTACCTCATGCATATTAATCATTGTATTTGTAAATTGTATTAATTTTGTATCGATTATTTGTGCACTATTTGATTACTATAATTGACTATTCAGATATAAAACAGTGTAGTATCATCTCGACAATGTCACTTAATTTAAATTAATAAATTTCTTCTTAAATTGGAATAGTGTCATTTCAGAAATGAGATGAATAATTATGCTTTTTGAATTTTCTTCTCACGTTGCCGAACGATTCATTCTGTTCCCGCGATGAAAGTGAATTTTACACTTCCTTTCATTCAAAAAGGAAGTGTGAAATATTTCTTCACATATTGCTACCAAATGTTTGAATCATTTTTAGCCAACCTCAATATCGATAGGAGATGCTAATTAGATACAGTGTTCCTCTTCTTTGCTACTCGGAAATTTCCTATATTCGCATAATTACTCGCCCACGGACTACACATTCATCAGTTACAATTAATGATTACGAAACACTGTCCGTATAAATAGGTATATTTTGAGAGCAATACATCACAGCACTATTAAAATTATCGCAATTCCCTCGCATCCGCTTCCACTTTGGGGTTATTTGCTGAAATCATATGATGATCGGCAGATGTTTTCAAGGAAAATGAGAGGAAGGGAAGGATTTGCCATATCGTCAATGCGTTCATTTGGAAAAATGACTTAATGAATAATGTTCGGTTTGCATCATATTTATTAATTTGGATAAACCAACATTACAATATATATTTGTCGTATTTTAAGTCATAAGAAAATAATTGCTATATCAATTGTTGCACGAGGCAGGTCTTCCACGATAGTGTTCCAAAACAATTATAGCATTTTAGCTAGCCAAATTAGTTAAAAAACAGTTCTATCTATTGATTATTTCTACTGATACAAGGAATTAACCAAGATCTTTAGTTGTAAAAAGTCAGCCTTATAATTAGCTAACAGCTGCTTAAATCAGGAATTTTTACAGTATAATCAGAAGAAGAATCCAAGTAAAATCGTATTTTTAGGTTGAAAAAAGGAAATTGCACTAAATTCAATGCAGATCACATAAAAATGAGGCATTTCTCTGAACCGAATCCGCAACTTTGTAATATTTATATTTTTATAAATCCATTTTCACAAATAATAGTATTTCGATTTAAAATGAGATAGAGCGCTAACTGGAACGATGATGAAATACTATTAAGGTAAATTAACATTATGGAAAAAGAATCAACATGAAAAAGGGAGGAGTAAAGGTAGATGCAAGGAAATAATCTTGGAGAGCTAATAAAAGAGATACAGTACTAAAACAGTTCACATGGAAAATTCCAGAAAACACACGAGATAAACAAAAGTAAACCTTTCACAACATGCATTAATTATATTTTTTCACCAAATTATAAGCAACAAGTTTTGAAAAAAGGAACTCATTTCACTTCTTGAGAAGGTCATCAATGTCTTTCATCATATGTTTGGGTGAAGTTGTTGGTGCATAACGCTTCACCTGAAACATTTCGTAAGTCAAATTTTACATAGAATATGAACTCTTCCCACAAAACAAACTTTCTGGTGCTCTCAAATAATACACTCATAACACATAAAGCAGTGAACTAAGACTTCGCATTCCACTTTTATCACATAAGTGAAGGTTCCATCATATAACTTTTTTTTGTTTAAGCCATTTTATTCTTTTGAATTCTCGTAAACTTAAGAGATGGAGAAATAACCTAGTATTGGAAAGTGATCATTTTGAAAGCAACAACCAAAATTGTGCAGATTATTACCTTTCCAAGTATTTGGAATAATTACTCGCAAAAGAATGGATAAGGAATGTAGCATATAATATACAATATAAGAGAATAAAATGTACGAAAATATCTACAATAAAACTTATATGACAGTATCCAGAAGTTGATAATGTCACTACGCTTGAAACCGAAACTATTTCTATGATTCCTAATAATTGGCGTATGGATTTGGCACACCCCTAACATAAAGAAAGTGAAATATTAAAACTCGATGAAATTAAAAAATAAGCTTCCTTACCTGAGTATCTTCATCCGTAAAAAGCAAACATAAATCAACATTTAGTTTAAGCATTATATATCCTTCGGAAACAAAACAAAAATGATTAAAAATGCATTATACTAACCGGATGTCCTTCTCGGTTAATCAGAAATTTTGTGAAATTCCACTTTATATTATCACCAAACAATCCTCCCTTCTCATGCTTCAGGAAATCAAACAATGGTGCCGTATTTTTACCATTGACATCAATTTTGCCATATAAATCAGGTTCGAAATGAAATTTTTCAGCAACAAAATTTTTCACTTCTAACTCACACTTTGGTTCCTAAAAATGTTAAGTTATTGCTTTTACAACTCATTCCTATAGCAAAATTACTTTATTCAATTTTCATTAGCAACGAACATTTTACCTCTGCAATTTGAATCATACCGCGATTGATTTAATTAAAAAAATTTAATTTTATCAACTAACTAAATTTTCAAAAAAAATACTGCAGTCCCCATAAAGTGACAAGCAATACTGACGCCAACTAATTTCTGCTTTTTAATCTACAGTATAAAATCTAGGCAGTAACTCTAACAAATTATAGAAATATTAAAAAATTATTTAAAATCAACCAATTGTTGGTGAAGTAAATGTCACCATTGTTTTTGCCATTTACTTATTCTAATGGTGCAATGCGTTAAGAATAACAAAATAATTTAAATATATAGAAAAATGCATATTAAACGTATTTAAAATTCTCTTTTTTTCTTCATTATTTCTATTTCTTTCCATTAAAAATTCAGTCACGTTTTCTTTTCTTTTAACATCAAACTACCAATTTCATGTACTTAAAAATAAATAACTTTAGCTTTGCCAAACATACGACTAAGTTAGTTACATTAAACTTAGCAATTAATTTAATCACTGATTATCAAAACTATTCCGTCACTCTTTAAGTTGCGAGAATACGCTAAATACAACTATAGCATGCCGTTTAATCTACTTGAATGCTAACAGAATAATCAATGAAATGACTGTAAATAACAAAAAAAAAACGAACCTGTCCACCAAACTGGTTACATGGAAAGGCTGCTATTGCTAAACCTTCATCCTTGTAGTGTGCCATCAGTTCTTTGAGTTCGGTGTAATTAGAAGTCGCCAAGCCACACTGCGATGCAACATTTACAATTACCACCGGTTTACCTCTGCCACATTAATAACTATTATGATTGAAAGACTGACAGATGATAGTAACCGAAGTCACGTGAAAATTACTTTATACCAAACTCCCACCCAACCGGCCAATAAAGCTACCATTAATTTGTACTCACCAAAGCAATCATAGCCAAATCGGAACTTTTTTCAAATACTTTTATTAAATCTTTATTTTAATTTCTCTGCTACAAACGACGTACTACAAAATTAATTCTAAAATTAAGTTAGCCGAATAATTTCCTTAAATTATAACTGCTGTCCTTTTTTTAAAATAAATTAAATTGTTTATGATACTTGTTTTATTGAAAACTGATCCATCAACTCCTTTCTACAAAAAGACTATCAACTCTTACACAGCCTGTTAATATATATAATTTTATAAACAAAGAAAACGTGACATGACCTATTGATTTACACAATATATTGAGATGACCTAAAGTGAATGATCTCAGACCTATCTCATAATTCAAAATACTGTAGTCGAAACAATTTCTGTCTATTAAGATTTCGAAACAGAGAATAAATTAATTCATTAACAAACCGGTATTTTTCCAGCGAAACATCTTTTCCATCTGCATCCTTCACAGTAAAATCATAAATTGTTCTTGCTGAAGACATTTTCACGGGTGAACGATTACTATTATTAGCAATACTGCGGAATACTGTAAAAAAGAATAAAGTAAAAGATGAAGAATGATGAATAATTGAGGATGATATTATCGCAAAACGTTCACCGAGAACTGCAAAGCTAAAAAATACATTATGCGGCAGAATTAATCATTGAAAAGCTGCTAGAACAACTAATACGCTCTTAAAATTCATTTTCCATTTCACTAATCAATAATAGTGAAATAAGGCTAAATCAGTTGCAATAATTACAAGGGCCAGTGAACATAAATCTCTTCGGAAAGAATATATGCTAGAAGGATCGGAGCAGTGACTTCATTTATAGTTCTCATCATACGCATATATTTTTATCTGAATCACAAAGAATACGGCTATCAGTTGCTCATAGTGTTATGACAAATAAACTGAAAACAAGTTAAAGTGAGTTAATCATCTTAAACTGTGGGCAACAAATCAGCGTTCGCATAAGTCATCATACTTTTCCAATCATGATTCTTCCCTGTTCAATACCTCTTTTGCTGTACACAAGAAGCATACTGATATCTAATAATAAGAGTTTCAAAGATATTTCAACTTTATCACCCATTCGAATTACAGCTCGTAGTACTTGCCACTGTGATGGCGGAATACCGAAACCTCTTGAGAAAATTGCTTTTGTACAATTAACTGGTTGTTCAAATCATATCACTGTCCCACTCATTAGCAACTTTCAACTTTTTAATCTCTTATGCACTGAAGCTTCTCTAAAATTCCAACCGAATTCAACTGTTTAAAATAAATACCAGATACTTATTTCTTTATGGCCTTAATAACGCAAAGGATATCATTGAGAGCAAAACCTTAATCTTTATGTCACTTCATGTCCTTCATGAATTTACAACACTTCGTTTAATAATATGAGTTAATTTATTTTCAACTCATCTAAATTAATCAGATCATGTATTGCAAATAAAAAGAGTAAAGAATGATAAAACATGAGTATAAGCAAAAACAGTAAAGACTGAGTACGCAAGAAAAGGTCAACATAATATTCTTCAGTTTTTTTCAGATATAAGTTTATTATTTGACTTTTTCATCTTCTACGTCATATTAAGCGAGAAAATTGGATACCTAACAGATCGAGCATCAGGAAAATGAATTGGACATCTGAAGGAATAAAAAACAACCATAAATGAAGCCTGACACACAAGAAGGGTAAAACTGACATTAAAATAGATTCCAGTCTTTCACGATTATTTACTGCCATTAATCAGTGATTCGATATCATGCTTTATTGCCATTGGTAAAGTAGTTGGTGCATAACGTTTCACCTAAATTTTGAAATTATTCTTCAGGAGAAAAAACTTGTAAAGAAGTATGTCTTACCTCAGACCATAACACACCTGGCCATCATTACCAAATTCCACAACCACAATGTGTCAATGTGATATATGAAACACAGTTACTTGGTGGTTTTATCAACTGATAAGTAGTTTACGAAGACAGTACACTTACTATTTGAAAACAAAAGTTGGAAAAAAGTCAAACATAATCCATGTTTGTTTTTCGCAATGAAGCTTGAATAGCAAAATTTCTGAAATAACTGAAATTTATTTACCGGATGTCCATCTTGGTCAATGAGAAATTTCGTGAAATTCCATTTAATCCTCTTACTAAGAATACCACTTTGTTTCTCTTTTAAAAAATTGTACAACGGATGAGCATTTTCACCATTAACCTCAATTTTCTCATAGATGTCAGGTTCGTAGTGGTATTTTTCCTTCACACTTTTTTTGACATCAGCTCCACAACCTGGTTCCTGCAACAAAACAAATTCACACTGCTCAAACTTGTTTATCCCTTTTTTTATTACATCCAGTTAATTTAGGAAATGCATAACCATCAAGCAATGAATCCACGCATTCATATATTATGCAGATGCAAAAGTAAATGAATTTCGACTTAATATAGAAATTCGCAAACAAAATGATAGATAAATCTTGAACATGGAACAGCAATTTTCACGATAAAAAGCCATCCCAACCATCTAGGCCAAATGACAGTACTCCTCCATTTAACTAAATTAAAAGCCAGAAAAATGAAAAGAAAATCATGCCTGCGATCCGAACTGATTGCATGGGAATACAACAACAACGAGTCCTTTATCTCTATAAAACTTCTGCAACTGTTTGAGCTCTCTATAGTTTACATCAGCAAGATTGCAATGTGATGCAACATTAACAATTACAACCGGCTTTTCCCTGCAGTAAAATGGACAAACGTATACAGCGAGAAAAGACATTATACCTCTATTTATCCATAAAATGGATACAGCAAGAGAAACAATAAAGAAGAATACAACAAAAAAGTTTGTCATATTTGTGATTTCTAGGAATTCTACATTTAAAATGAAATCTTTCATACGCTGTTTTCCTCTTTATTTGTCATTGGAAAAATAGAAAAAAATACATACGTACAGCAAACCTGTATTTATCCAATTTCACTTCCTTACCATCGACATCTTCCACAGTAAAATCATATATCGTTTCTGATGCAGCTGAAGTCCCCGTAAATCGCGTAAACGTAAAAAATTTCCATGCTAACTGCACGGAAGAACGTGACCACGTCATTTCATTTATACAAGTATGAGTATGGACTTTACTTCAAAACATGGATGTGAAATGCACAAGCAACTCAATAACCAAATAAAACTGCACAAGCCGCGCGCTTGCCACCTCGCGTCCTATCTTTTCACTTCCGCACTTTCCGTCCAAACACGTCCGTTGAATAAACAGCTAATGGACGCACAACATGAGGACAGTGTGCAAACTGAATGGCTTATGACTGAAAATGAAAAAAGTGGAAGCGTGTGAGATTTTGACGATTTCGAAACTGACGTAAAGAACTAACTGATATAATTTGTATGGGAAATAGAATAGACGGATAGGTACCGAATATCAAAAAAAAATTGGTTTATCTTAAGAGGTCCCTCTTCTCGCTTAACTTCCATTTCTTCTCCGTAGATACTTTTACTTACTGCTTTTCACGTATTTCGAATTTTAAAAATTTATTCTATACAGCACATACTTCGCATACCGCAACCTTACTGTTAGATTTAATTTAATGGGGAAATTAGAATTAAATCACATAATAATTGCATTTGTTACAAAAGTTATATAGGTCATAGGTTAGAAGGGTGCACGTACATATACCTTGCGCAATAACACACATTAACACGTTGAGCATCTGTTGCGGATTGAGAAATGGTTACGGATGAGACATAGAAATTAACAAAATACATAATAACTAATTACGAAGCTTTGGCATAATTAACAGAGATTAAGGAGAGGAATAAAAATAATTTCGGAATATTTTATCTTTAAGCAACAGACAACCGCTCTATAATTCCTTCCTTCTCTTTCCGCTTAAACGATTAATAATAAGCTAAAGTATTTGATTAATATGATAATTCTTTAAAATAATTTCATCTGAACGGTAGTCATTAAATATTAGAAATAGCAACTGACCAAGCTGGATTTCTAATATCCGCCGCTAAGTCTACTAGCAATTAGCCAGGACTATTTGGTCATTTGTCTGTTGATGATACTCTTATAGCGATGCTAATTCTATCCTTCAAAAAAATTTACTTGCAGGAAAAACTTAAGAGGACTAAAAACAGATTTAGTTGATCTTATCGCTTCTTCCCTGATAGTTTCTTATTGGTAACTTATCATTATGGTATCAAATATTCATTGTGCCTTTATGTTACAATCATTTCTTCCATCTTCTCTCTTCAGTGATATGAGTTCAGTCCGTAATCAACGAGAATACAGTACGGATGAGGCGGAGTGGTTTAAGTGAATAGCTTAAAAATTTTTGATAAATTTATTGAAGAGAGGAAACTGATTTCAAATTTACTGATCAAAATTAGTGGTTGGAAAGAGATGGGAAAGAAAGCGGTCATTGGCATTTTTAGTATAGTTGCAGTAAAATTTTGGCATGGAAATACCGACTTTCTACGTTTCTCTCCCTTTTACCAACCAAACGTACTGTGTGTTGACCTTGCGCAAATTTCACGACTCATTAGTAATTTCCACTCAATTCTCCCTTAAATAATGATCACACCCACACAACACACCCACACAATACACCCGCACAACACACCCACACAACACACTCACGCACACGCACCCACACATACATACACACACACACACACACACACACACACACACACACACACACATACGCACACACATGCATACGTATGTATGGCGTTACTCAATTCTTGTATTATCCGTAATTTGCAAGCATTTTTCATTAAGTGAATGTTTAATGAAATTGAAACAGAAGGGTGAATAGTTTCGAAATTTGAAAAAGTATACAACCGATTAAAGTAGCCATTTATTGAAATCAGTTCGTTTTTACTGCAAGGATTGTTGATTAGAAGGTGTAGAAGTATGCTGATTTCTAATTTCTTATTTTTTTCAAAACTATTCTTACCAGTGGCACTGATTGCATTGAGAAAAGAAAGTTAACAGTGCCAGCTGAACACATCAATCATTGATAATTGCCTTTAGGCGATAATTGCCTAAAGGCGTCCTTTGTATAAATCATCTTTGCTTTTTAATAAATGGCAACTTTTTCACAGTGGCAACATTGCAACACAGAAAGAAGCGATACTTTCATTGGCAATAGCTTACCTACGCTTACTTATGTGCTTTAGGAGTTTTCTCCTTTACATAATTTACTTATTAGGGATATGTAACGACAAATGTGTTCCATCGATGGACAAAAACTGCTTTTTCTCTCCTCTCTTCCGTCTCTAAAAATGGTTGTCAAATTAATTTCAGTACACAAATAGCATTTGATAGAGTATTATCGTTTGGTGCTGAAATTAATTTGCTTGATGAAGTGAAAATATCCCTGATGTATTGTCATTTTTATGTTGTGAATTATAATGTTCTTCATGCAAGGTGACAGTTTGCCCCCGTTAGATTTGCCGAAAATAGAAGAAAACTTGTTCAACTTGAATGGTTAAGAAAGAAATTAGTGTGATATAATTATTACCTTACCAATTGTTTACATCTTTCCCAAACATGCATGCCTACGGCAGCCCGCAGCTTCTTCTTCTTCATCTCAATTATTCATTTCTCTTTTCAACAACTTTGTCATTTACTTAAAAAAATGACAAATTTATTTTTAACCAAATGAGATATTTTTTTTAATAACGTCTGAAAGCTCATCCTTACTTCGATTTCAGTTTTTTCTTTGCAACTGTAATGATCCCTTGAAATTTTTGCATATGAATAAAAATTATTAGATCGGTTCCGGTCCTTTACGAGCAGCTGAACTTCATGCACATAATGACATTGTTCCGGTTTAAAAAGAAGCAAACAATACTGGCTAGTAAAACATTTAATTTATTCGATCCGTTGACTAAGCTTGCAGTGATTTTGGCTAATATTTAATGCAATATTTTTTTCTAAGATGTTTTTAGAAAATAATCTCTACTTATGTTAATGATTGTCTAATTGTTATTTTTAGTTTTGTTATAAACGAAACTATAATTTAGCTTACTGTCTTGAGATGAGTTCTTGAACAACTTCAATATTTAAATAATTCCAAGAGAAAGTCATATTCATTTTATTGCTTGTTTATTATTCATTTGTTTACTTGTTCATACACTTTTCTGATCCTACTTACGATTAACGATTGCAATTTACCTCTTTATCAGCATACTTATCCATCTTCTCTACGATTTAAATTAAAGTTTATTGATAAGGATGCACAAAGTTAAGGTGGACGATGACCTTGATAAGTTAATGGATGTTTATATATTTTTGGGCTGCTAATTCAAATTCAAATATGTAAAATGCTACGTTATTATTGCGGGGCACCTATAAAATACTAAAAATATTATTGATAAAATAAAACTTCAATTTACATGCATATTTATGCATTGCATGATGAGTGAACTTTAGAAATTGGTAAAGAGAGAGGAGGGAACAAAAGTAATCTCGACTGGAGAAGTGGAGAAATTTCTCGTCTTGGTCGTATAAGCGCGAAGAATGTCTCGATCATGGTCGGATAAGTGCGAGGAATGAAATATATTTTTTGATTAGCTCTGACTAGGCAAAATCGTGGAAAAATAGTATAATACGACTCTTATTCACTTCTTTAACCATTAATTACTCTAATTAACATTCCATTGGTAATAATACGGATTATATATAACATCTGCAAATTGGAATAGTAAAATGAATAATTAGAGGTATTCCTTAGAGTACTATACAAAAATATTCATCCATCAATATCAATCAACCAGGTTTAATTAGCAACAACAACAACAACAACAACAACAACAACAGAATGTAAATAAATAGATCTGTTCTTCATTGTTGCTTCCCCTTCTCTTACCCATCCATTTCACCCCTTCTTCCCCAGAATACTTCAGAAAGAATGCAAGAAGGAGTGAAGGAAAGAGCTGTCAAAGGATACCTGCGGTAGCCAACATCCATCTGTAATTCTCTACTACAGTTAGTTACTCCTTCCTCTTTCTTCCTTCATTTTCTCAAACCCTAATTAATTCTTTTTCTCCCTTATTTTATTAAATGAAATTGTGAGAAAATTCCTCCGTTTTTCTACATGATAGTTATTGTTCGAACTGTATTTCTACTGCCGTGATATTTGATCGATTGTCACGATTATCGTTTCTTAGCAAAAAAATTGAAAAATATTCTTCATTTTCTTTTTTATTTTTTTTCTCGAAAAAAATGTAAAATTTGTAAATTCATTTGCAAATTTCCTTATAAATCTGAAAAGTTCCCACGATTTTTACTTATTTCTCATTATTTTCTAGTTACCTTAAAAGTAAAAAGATACACTGAAATCGGTCACTGAATACAAGAACAATCTAAATCTTAATTCCTCTTTTGTCATCCTCAGAGGATTCAGCAATTAATGAATTTCTTTTTCTTCAGAAGAAATAAATGTACCACCCGACATCTCTCTACCATTCCGCGATACCGTCATGTACAGATAACAGTTGCATTGATTTCGGAATTTATGGTATTGAACAGAATGACTGCTGCCTCGACCTGAACTGCATTGAGCCATCATTGGTGCCTGAGGAACAACAAGCATATACCTATGCTACTGCTGCATATAGTACTGGCAGCAATAGTATTAATGATGCAGTGATCGATAGTGCAGACCAAGTGACTAGCCGGATTTCACGTCGAACGATCAGGAAAAAGCGCTCAAAAAAGGATCCGAATGAACCTCAAAAGTAGGACTTCTTCATTTTCGCCGAGTCTTTCTTAATTTCAACTTTTAATTTTGAATTTCATTGAAAAATGAGTTTATTGATATTGTAGTAACGGTAGGAATAAGTGTTTTGATAATATAACCATATGCTTTTTACCAAAGCCTACAAATTCTTTTCCCCATTTCAGGCCAGTTTCAGCATATGCCTTATTTTTCCGTGATACGCAAGCTGCCATAAAAGGAAAGAGTCCAAATGCTAGTTTTGGCGAAGTGTCGAAAATTGTTGCATCGATGTGGGATTCATTAGATTGCCATGCAAAGAATGTTGGTTCTGCTCGGTTTTTCATCGAAAATTTAGATTATAAATTTAAATTTCGAAATCTGAAAGACTTTCTTCAGTTCGAAAACACAAAAAGTTATAAATTCGCATTTTCTAGTTGTACAAACAGAGGACAGAAATGGCGAAAAAGGATTACTTGAAAAGGCTTGCAGCTTACCGTGCTCAGCAAATATCACGTGTGAGTCAAATTTGCGTAGCTTTATAAACCTTGATAGATTTATATTTACAGATTTGTGATATAATTAGGAAATAACACATGGATATTGAAATTCAGAATTTTAGGAATTTATTCTAGAATGAAACATTTCAACCGGTATTGGTATCAGGAAAAGAAGGACCACCAGCAATGGAAACAATGAATTCTGCAACTTCATCAAACTTAAAGCAAGAAGTATCTACTGCAGTAGGTGAAATGACCTTGGCAAATTTGATAGCCCGTCCACCATCAACAAATTTTTCTTCGCTTTATCTTAATCAACGGTTCGTAAAATTGAATTTATAAAGAGCTCTTTTTAACTTATTCTTTTCTTTACACTGTAATATCAAAAGGATCATCCTCTTCTAATTTCTAATATTTCGTAGGATACTTCAATAAGTGTACCAGGAAAACCAAACTAAATCTTTTGTTTTGTACAGTTATTTCCCAGAGTGCCCAGTCCTTCGAGAATCCTATCACCTCAAGGCCTTTAGTCTTTTCCTGTACATTCGATGGAGAAATAGTTCCTATTTCCCTGCTCGATAACTTTTATTCATTTTTGCTGAACATTCTGTTGCATTTAACTTTGTTCGACCTTAAGGCAAGTTGTTTCTCTAATATCATTGGCATCAAATTGTAGTTCTTACAAATATTCCATATTAAATTCTATTCTAGGACAGTTTTAATCTCACGAAAATTAATTTCAAAATTTTAGTTTGAATCAGAAAACGGAAAAGAACATTGCTGGCAAAAAATAATGATATATGGAAGCAGTGGATCGAGAGAGTGATCTCAACCAGAAAACATCTGATGAATTGACAAACATTTCTAAATCAGTTTTGTCCATTTTATTTCATCATTCTCCTTTGAATAGCTCATTGTTCACTAAATTAGGTAGTACTTTAATGACCATACTTTTATTTTATTTTTAGTGAAGTAAAAGGTTGGGTGGAACTGTTGCTTCAACAGTTTACAATCTCGTTGTTGGCTTTGGGATATGGTAGATTCTTCTGTATCCATCAGAGCATTACTTGTCGGGAATTTAAGAGTAACCTTGCAGTTCATTACTTTGTGTTGTGTACTCTGCTTAATTAGTGATCTTTTTGAGTCTTTATCTTAATCCTGAATCTCTTTTTTCTTACGCTATTCCAATGATATTCTTCTATTCTGAGAAACATGCAACTTGTTTTATCAGTCAGAATTCGTTGTATCATTTCTAACTTCCGTTCGATGAGATGCATCATATTCCATACTTCATCCCTAACTGGTAGGATCGAAAAAAAACATACCACATTTTAGCATGGGATGAAAAGAATGCAAACATGTCGATCATTTTTGAATATTTCATACAATCCAAGGTGTAAGGGAAATTTGCATATAAATGAGTTGATATAAATTTGAAAAGGCTCACATTCCGCTTACATTCTTTGATTTACTTAACTGAAGCGCAGTAATAAACTCGTTGAGTATAACTGAAGGAATGCGTTCGGGCAGCACTGAATTATCACTGCTCGATTCCACTCGGTCCTCTCTAAAGATCTTCTTGTCATCATTTATCAGAACATTAACTATCAATCTAGCAAATACATACAGGGCCTTTTCCCATTTACACTTTTTCTTATTTTCAATTTTTCGCCGAAACTTACATCTCATGTCGCATACTCACAGTCACTCGCAGACGGTAATTATCAGATGATTAGCTGATACGAATCAGAAAAGCTTTAGCGCTTCTTCTATTTCTTCGTTTCCAGTACTTTCAATGATGTAAACCGACATCCGACATTAATCCATCAATATCCAACGTTCGGCTTCGATTCCATCCCGTTAATCATTGAAGTAGTTGGCATCATAACTACTGTAGCCACATGTCTTCTAATGCATTTCATTCTAAAAAAATCCTACGAAGATACCGACCGGCCAACATTCCATCATTTAATTCATGATCAGTATTATAGTAAACAACTGGATGAATTTTTAAATGATCGAGACGGAAAGAATGAGACGGTACGTGACTTATTTTCGAATACCATATACGTGAATGTTTGTCTCGTATATTGAAAGCATAAGCATTTTTTTCAGAGTTTTAAAATTGAAAACTCTGAAATTTCGGAACAGTTTAATATAACTTCGAGCTTGAAATCGTCGAATTTCTAAGCTTTTCATCTCTTGACGCCTTAAATGTTCGAAATTTTTTAAATTTTAAATCAAAATACCTCAAAATCTTAAATTTTGAGCCTCGTTCCTCGTTCAAATTTCAAACCAACTGAGCTTCCATGATGTGATGTTGCAACTTGGCATTTTATATTATGTTCACATGTTTCAGCGAAAATTTTTAAGTTTAGCATATATTTTGTTCCCCTTTTAATAAAACCATAAAATGAAATTTTCTCTCGACACAAAAATACTTAATCCTTGGAAACAATCGTCCGTTTCATATCAGACAGTTTCTCAAACTTCACTGCGAGCAACTGAGAAACTATCAATTGAACAAAAGAAAAGAAATGCAAACATAGAATAAGCGGCAATGTCTTCGAGATAATATCAAATTCCAAGATCATAATTTCTCAAAAGAATTTCCAACCTATATTATTTCGAAAATGGAACAGAAAAGAAGAGACGTGAAAATTTTATGAAATTTTTTGAAATTTTCAACTCAGTAAAATAATGAAGCTAACTGAGTGAAGTACGGAAAAATATATCGTTTCACTAAATAACACCAATTGCACGGTACCTGTTTCTGCGCAACTGGCATTATCCCTGAGCTCAAATTCATCCACGTATAATTCGATTAACAGTAACGCTCGTAATTGTTGACACGACGTGAATATTTTTTGCTTCTACGCCTTCTGGAAAATCTCCTTTCTCTTTTCTATTTTAAAATTTTCAAAAATATATTTTTATAAAGTTCTGAATCCTTTCTTAACTATGAAGAAAAGTTGAAACCTTCAAATGAAATTTAATATAAATAATTTTCAAACTTCAATTATTTTGAAGGTAATTATCCCAACAGAATTTTCAATATTCATGAATGAAAGTAATATGATTGTTGGTGTATATACCTTCAAGTAAAGGTAATTCTTTCGAGCATATTATCTGCATAAATTGAAAATTTTATTTCATAAAATCCCAAAAGCCACGGTGTATTTCCGTACAACCGAAAGATAAATTTCATCAAATAGGTAGAAAGAGCAAAGATGGAAGAAATTTTTTATAGTTTTTTAAAATTTACAGAATTTTATTCGCACAGTAGACAGCAACAGCACAAGTATTCAACACAATGTGAAAAAATACAATAAAAAAGAAAAAAAAAAACAAATATTTTCTCGGATAGCACAATGTACGCAAAGAAACGGGAAAATGATTAGCAACAGTTTTCGACAAAGATATGTATTGTAAAAATGCTTGAAGGGAAGTTCGGAGATGTTTCCACTTTCCAAATCATACCATAATCTATTATCCTAAACGGAATCACCGAACAATGGACATCAGGAATCGCGCAACTTTCTGTATACCATTACATAAACTCATTACCACTTCTCATAAATGCTCACAGTATTTCAACATTATACATAATTTGGTTCTGAAATAGCAGCCTAATACACACAAACGATTTTGCATTTTATGTCCTACAAGAGCATTATGATTCGATTCCATGGTAAAGAAACGGTCCGAACTAACAGAAATCAGAATTTAAATAAGAAATTATTAAAGTAAAAATTAAACTTTAAGATGTCAAAGACATGGAAAGAAGATTCAGAAGAAACGCAACGTAATCCTATGAGATACAAGCTTCGAGAGTAGGACTTATCCGTCCATGAATCAAGAATAACCAACATTACACTAAAAAATGGACATCATTTCTCAGCATCATTAAAAGGAAATTTACTGTAAAAACTGACCTCTTTCATCTTCCTCCCAGACTGCTGCAAAAATTTCTTAACAAATAAAAACTTCTTACACGTACGCTGTTTCCGCGATGTTGGAAAAAAAAATGACAAGCAAAGAGAAAACACACGAGATATTAAATGAATATCCTGGCACTTAAGAATTATTCAACTAAACGGATGTATTTAATAGCAATCACAAATTATTGCAGTATTAATTAAAATTGAAGACGTTATGTAATAGCTTTCTCAACGTGACATATTTCTAATGCTGCAAAAGTGAACACTTCTCACCATGTTTAGATGGCAGTGAGCAATGTCGTGATTGCGAGTCTTATTTATTTCTGGGAAAATCTACTCGGAAACACCATTAAGATTTCTTGAATTTTTGGTTTATAAAAGAAAATCTACACGGAAAACATTTTGCTGAAACTTGTCAATTAACTATTCATAACATAAATTCATATAAATGCATGAAATGTGATTCCGTAACAACAAATTTGTGCCAACCAAAAATTCTCAATTTTTTCCATTTCGAGAAAGACATGAGCAAATTATTTAGAATTTACCAAGAATTTACACAGGCGCAATGAAACCTGGTCTTATTAAGTGAATAAAACACAACAAATCGTTATCACACTTATTTAATAATCACTCCAAGATTGACAACCGGATATCGAACACAAAATTAAAAATAAACAATATCATTTAATTATCATAAGGTCACAGAAATCTATCACTTTGCTATCGATATGTTCCGAGAAATAAAGAGAACTGGAAACGAGAAGTAAAATTGGTACATGAATGACCATGAATTTTTATAAAATATACAAAAATTTATCAATTTATTAAGCATAATTTCGCCACAGCATTGCGAATATGATGTTGAACAGAAAGTAAATCTTAATTCCACAAAGAAGTCAGGCTTTGTTGATTAAGCTGTTAATGTTATAACTAGTAATATAGAAGACCAAACATACTAACTAAACATGATCCAATATTTGTTAAAAACAATAGCGAAATTATACAGCAGCATAATTTATACTTATAGTTTTTCTGATAACGCGACTCAGGACAATCCTTAGATCCTCACGCATTTCGCACTCCACCAGGCGACACATATTCAACGCATAGTCTTGACCAAGATCAATGAGCTAGAACAAAAAAATAATGAATTGAAAAATAATGCCTGTAGAATAATTTTCAAAGAAAAGATAAACATTTCATAGATTTGTTTAAAAGATTCTTCAATAATAACAACTATTTCAAAACTGATCATTAATTTTGTAATCTGAAGTCTAACCCTTATTTTACTTAGCAATTCATTCGTACGATGCATATTTTAAATTACTTGAAAGCATTCTTGTAACCAGAGGAAAACTGATACAGCATCAAAAAAATAAGATCATCTTAAATTAGAAAAATTTAATGTAGCTATTTAATAAGATGGGAAGGGCATCTAAAAATCCAAACTCGTCTTCTTTTTCTTTATTCACGCTGACTATTACCTGCGTCGAAGAAAATGCATCCGTTTTTTCCAACAGTAAATATACTACTGGAACCCAAGCTTGTCGATGTTGCTCGGATTTTAATCCCGAATAGTAATCCAGCGCATTCTCTACAACCCTTCAAAATATACTGATGATTAAAAGAATAGTGAAAACAAATTCATACTGATTCCATTTCAAAAATTGTCGACCTTATTTGACAGATTTCAATAATGTCCATTATTCAATCAAGAAATGAAGCCTAAGAGATACTAGGTTTCATCTGCACGACATGTCTAAATTTCATTTCAATCACTGTCACAAATAACGGTGAGGTCACTGCTGAAACAAATAAGATACATATGCTGGAAATCAAGTAATAAAATCAATCGATTATATGCAAACCTCAACAATTTCATTTTGATATTATTTTTCTGCTGTACTGATGTTCTTCCAATATCAGCATATAATCTATACAATATGTTAAGGACAATTTGTACGCTATGTGTTTCCTGCTTCAAAAGATTCGGTTTACTTCGACCTGAAACACCTTAAGCTTTACTGTCATACCGTTTGCATGATCTATTAAATATTCAGAAAGGTTTTTCCATGCAGAATGTTTTACTGTCTCACTGCTTGCAGCCTACACTGAGAAATAAGTAATCACTATTTTCATTAAGTTCGATTATAGTTCTGTATTCCATTGTTTTCATGACTGTCAAACGTTACGGAAAGAATTTGGAAAACTTTCCAACCAATCGCTTTAGCAAAACTTAGCAGTGAGCAAAACTATGAAAAAAATTATTACCATTGCCAAGACTTTGAGGAAAGGAGAAATTATATATACATGAAAATTTATAAATGCAAAAATATAATTAGAATGTGTGTGGCCAATGGATGTTATAGGCGCATAAAATGTATAATATTCTTTCAATGAATTTGGCGATTTTTTTTTTGTATTTTGAAAGGACTTTTAATGAACCTTTAAAACCAGCTTTCCACAGTAACGTACGTTGAGCATTGTTGCCATTAAATTTTTGAGCAAGAGTGTGAGAATCAAGAAGACATTCAACTAGCTGTATGAGATGATCCACTTCTGCAACACAATAAAAAGATAAACTTTCGTTAATTTTCACGGAATAAGAAGTTACAAATTTTGTCATACAAACAATATACTGTTTCAAGTTTTAAAAAACCTATGAAAAATCTAAATGATAATTTCTAAAAATTTTTACAAACTCTTAAAAATTAAGTTGGATACATTTGAAGAATAATAATAGAAAAACCTTTACCTATAAACACATACAAATGAAATGCTTTTTCCAGAAGTTATGACAATTGCATTTCACTCTTAAAGAAGTTTGCTTTTCATAAAGTTGCTAAATAAGAGCATAGCTGAACGATTATAAAATGGTACCAATGTATTTATAGAGGCCTTCATCCATAATTTTTAAAGTCCCATTCTCCACATTATCAACAACTTCGTGTTCAAAGTTTCCATTCGCCAGTTTCTGTTCAATAGATTTACTCCCTGATTCCAGTTTTGCCGTTGTAGATGAAATAGTCTTTGTGCTCATTTCATCCTTAAAAATATTATTGGAGAAAGTGGACAACATAAGAAACAACAAAGAAATATCAACTGTAGCCTACTGCTTACTTTAATAGATAATATTGAGACTTATAGTATAAAATCAATTTTTTTTGGAATTTCAAAATATACTTTAATCAAAAAAAAATCAACCTTTTTCATTGATTCATGACCGAATATAATACTATTTACAGCATCGACCAATTCCAGTTGTACAACACATCGAACCAGTAATGTTGTAAACAGTGCATCATTACTGCTGCAAAATACACTTCTTCATTGCAACAAAAATTGAAATTTAGGTCCTTTCGCACTATAGCTGAGTAATTCTCTAAACTGGTGATGTGAAAAAATATTTAAGTTATGATTAAAAGACATTTTAGCTAAATGCTCTGAAGAATTATAATCTGAATATAATACAGTCTGCTTTCTGATTTTTTAATCAAATTAATAAAAATTTAAATTAACTGAATCCGAAAGCAACTATTTAGGATAAAAAATGTAGTGATAACCTCGAATTAAACATTCTTTGATGAGTACCATCATTACGCAATTGGTAATCTTCACCATTTGGTATAATAAACGTATTTAAAACATCTTCCGGTCCCCATGTAAGTAGCCTGTTAATATTTCTCCTTTAGAATTTGCCAATTTTTGGTTTTCTATCGTGAAAAATCATACAATTTTGTTCACAAGAATCTTTTTCCAAATTGAAATTCATATCTGTCAAAACATATCCCCTATATTCGTTTATGTTATAGCTACACTATTATTCTATTCACTCCAACTTATAAATATATTAACAGTAAAATACCACCATTTACGGAAGAAAAGTTTTTCAATTCCACTACTTCTATAGTAGAGCGTAGAATCAAGCATACTAAAGCAATCATGAAAAGAACATCTTGGAAAGCTATCAAACATTGTGTTAATAGATATAAGTCAATAATTAAATGACAAAGTTATCGTAATACAAGAACAGCAAAAAAAGCTCACGAATGAGGAAGTTTTATATTAAAAATATTAGTGATTAAGGTAATCGTTTCATTCCACATTTGAATTGTAAATTTGGAACCATTGAGAAGAAGCAAGCTTTCCAGGCAATTAATTGCTGAACGAGCCAACTGTTCATTTTCTAAAGAAAATGAATATTTAAAATTAAATGTAGTGCGCAATGTATTATGACCTAAATAAGCTAGATTAACATAAACTTGATTAAATTGCAAAAAAAATGAAATAAAAATTTATAAATTTTTAAAGTGAAATATGTAATATTATTTTCAATGGTTTTAAAGTGGTAATAAAATACCTTGCTGTGCACACCAATATAACTGTTCGTAAATATTGGTTAACAAAATTGTTGATAAAACTGGATAATATTGAGTAAAGACGTCAACAACGGCATAAAGAGCATGATTGCATGTTGTTCGCATCCACTCTCGTTTCTGAAACAAAAAATATATATTGTAACTCACATTTGTATGCTTTTTTCTATGCGAACATGTCGTCTATTGGTCTATTTGCATTACACTCACCTCATTTTGCTCCTCAGCCAACTTCATGACATCGAAGATTCGAAAAGCAACTTGGAACAAATCTTTCCACCATTCATCTTTGAATTCTGTCCCGAAGGTTTTCATAATTTCGAACATAACAGTCAAACTTCTATAAAAGTAATATCACTAAACAAATAAAATTGCTCAATTTGAACTTTTTAAAAAAAATACATTGTGCTGACTTTCTTCTAAAAAAAATAATATACAATTATTCGATATTTTTATTAAACTCAAAAGATTTCCAAATCAAATGGATATGCGAAACTTTCAAGCAAATAAATTTTATGAATCAAAGACATTAATGAACAATTTTTGACTTGAAGATTAATTATTTACTCCAAGTGTAATCTAAAATAGTTCTTGACAAACTTTTTAATACTATATTGTTGAGAAATCTTACAAAAATCTTTTTGATATATATAATCATCACCCATTACCATTATGCAGACAGATTGATTATCTCCGCGATGACTGGTAATATCAGCTATTTACCAACTAATATGTTAGCTCATAAGAAGGAAGAAGATCGAAAAATACCTTGTTCTGACGTCCAATTTACATCTTCCAATAATACATGATAATTCGAACATAATTGGAAACCATCCACGTAAGAAAATCCGTTGACTGTCTTGCAAATTTGCACTATCCTCCCACTGATGGTCTATGAACTGCTGCTGATTGCTTGAAACATATGTTGCACAAAGTCGTATCAGTCGAATTGCTTCCATGGATATATCCGGGAAACTTGTATTACACGCGAATTCTGATAAACACTTGATGGCATCTTGAAACGAATCCAATGCATTGCCGAATTGTGCAGCAAATACCGTAGCTGAAAAGTTGTAATCTCCGGAATTCCCTCGCTTATCCACTTGTCTTAATTCTTGAACTTTTTCGAAACATTTACAAACTGACTAATTATAAAATTGGTTGTCGTAAATGCACTTTCAACGATTCCTTCATCGTTTAGACTAGCTGCCATTGTAAAAACGGAAAAAACGTTTTTCCAACCGGATATTATTTTATTATAATGTGTGTTTACCATATGACTGATACATTCGACAACTAATTCTCGAGATTGGAACGCTCTGAAATTTGCATTCAATTTCCCTGTTTTAGAAATCACTATTTTATTCAAAGATACTCCACAAAAATAAAGATGTTTTTTAAGCGATTGACAATCATGAAATGTTAATTAAACATGAGATTAACCAAGTTAAGATGTATTTCAGCTTTCCAATGAGGAAAATGGAAAATCAACTGATACCTATTTCTATTCATGATAATCTCAAACGGCCTCAAAAAGTCCTTTTGGAAACGGAAATTAGGCAATTCTCCTCGTTCCAAAAATTTCATCGATAATTGCCTTAGTGCATCAACAGCAAAATGTGATATATTTTCATTTGCATTACAGCCTGCCTAAAATTTCTGGAAATTTAATATGAAGCAAAATTAAATAAATACATAAAAAGATAGCATCTAGTAAAAGTTCGAAAAAAAATTTTCACCTTATTAAAATGTTCTCCTAAAATGGTCCATATTCTAGACCACTGCAAACGAATACGATTCATATTATAGAATGATATTTCAACTATTTTCTGTAACATAAACATTCGTGGATTACCACTCGTTGATAATTCCTCCTTTGAAACTTCACATAAAGCTCGCACAAAATGTACAACAGCATCACCATCCAATCTTGATGATCCTTGAAATATCCTAAAAGTTGTTCATTCTCAAGCATTTGTCTTACAAGAGTACGGTGAAGGTAGAATCCAAAAAAAGATTGGGTGAAATAAGCGTTTAGTACCAAAAAATTGTATTTAAAGAGATATTCAGTTAAATACTGGAAAATGTTGAAAAATGATGAGTGAACGCACTGAAAAAAAATAACCAATTTAATTACCTATCGACAGCAACGACAACACTCTGCGAGGTAGTTTCACCCAAGCATTCTTGTAACATCCGTTCATCCACGTGAGTCGTAGTTTTCAAACCATCTATAAAATCTATGACATGACTTTTTAAATGATGTTTACTTCCATCAAAAAGTGCAAATAATTCAGCTAGTAATTAACAATCGAAATGAGACTAAATTACATTGCATCGAAGAACCGCTAACAACCGGATTATTAGAAGCTTTAACACCAGTACCAATCATTTGTGCTAATTCTAACTGTGAAATGCACTTGAGCACCTGAAATTTGCATCGAAATTTTTTCTGGAATGATCCTATCAATCAGCAAAAAACAAAAGATTATGACTAATTATGATTGAATGATTCATTTTTTACTTCCCTTTCTACTCATAATCTAATTAATAATTGGATAAAAAAAATTGGATGAAAGAATGCATTTAAAAATCTTCCAAAAGTAATAACATGATTTGTTTTAAAATGTTAAATATAAAAAAAATTGACATCAATCCAGGATTCATCCAGACAATTTCCATCTTCTTCGCCAACAGTTAATAATAATTTGATTGATTCAATATTCTTCGATTTCATTTCCACCATAGAATTTTTCGCAGTCAACAATGTAAATCTTTAAATTCACAAAAATACAGTACAATTCATAATATGTAACATTCAAATAAATGAAGTAGCGAAAAACATACAGAAAACCATAAAATCTGTTTATCATGAAAAATTATAACAAAAAAATCAAACATCGAATATAGCAGAAAACCTTGCTAATGCCTGTATAAAAGCATTCCGTTCCAGAATTAAACGAAATATGCAGGCAATTTTGATACCAAGACGAAATCCTTGCAAACACCAAAATATGACACTTTCATCTTCTGACGTTTGTAATCCGATACTGAATGCTGCTAAGCAAGGAGTCCAAGCAATCTAAAGTGGGCTGAATTGAAATTCCAAAATACAGTGAACAGTGGCATCGTACATCATCAATGAAACGGAAATGAAAAGTCAGTAATGATTGCGAAAAAAATGGCAATTACTACTAAAATTAATAATTTTATATTTTCTTTTTATTCCAGTTAAATATTTTAATAGTGTGTTTATCAGAATGTACAACTGCTAAATCCATTACCTTAAACATTGGCCTAACATGTTCGCAATGTGAAGCAGATGTAAATGCAGCTTCGTAATGCGATGCAGCTTCCATTAATGCTCGAGCTGTTTGAGCCATAGCGGCCAATTCAACATCTTGAAGTAATTTGCGTTGTCGTTCTGACGTCGCCGTTGTATCTGCATAAAAATTTCTTAATCGAATTTCAACTAACTCAATTTTTCATTAAAATTATGACTAATTAGTATGTCCTAAATTACTTCTTTTCTAAAAGTTTACTTTAACGATAAATAAATTACTCTGTTTGGGCAATTTATTGAGTCCTGGTTTCATCTTAATCTCACGTCCCGCAATTTCGTCATATATATCGGAGAGGTATTCTTGTGGCAGATCAGACTGGTCATTTATTCCTCTGTTCATTGCTATATACTGCTCTTTTGTCATCTTATTTCGTACCTAAAAATATTAAAAGTTCCTTTTTCTAACTGGTATATAGGAAAATGTTAAAAAACAATTATCTACTAGAAAAAGGATAAGTGTAAATCTGTAAATAAATTTCATGAAGTCGAAGAAATTTATTTCCAGACTCATACTTTTATAACATTATCAAAAGACACACATATAAAGCGAATTTCAACACAAAAATTTCAAAATCTCACTTTTAAAAATGGAAAAATATCAGAATGAGGGAAGAATTTAAGTGTTCTTATAAATATGAGAAAATGTATATTTGATACAATTTTAACTTCAGAACAGATATAAAGAACAGATAATGCACGTCCAATGTCTGTAGCGCTCTGATTCATAGTTATGAACACATCGGAGTATCAGTGACATATTGTCAAATCCAATAAAATGAATAAAAATCTTGCCTGTGGGCTATGCAAATCAGTTGTTAACATGATGATTGAATATGCGAGAACATATGCTGTATCGGCAGAGGCGAAAAGACCGAGGCTTTAAATTAAGCTTTCCTTTTAAATACATCAAAAGTTACGAAAGAAGAAATTCGAGATTTAATAAGATTCTTGAAACAAAAAAAAAATTGATTTTAGGCAGATATTTAAGTGTATTGAATAAATGCGCATCTTAATTTCTACTTTGGATTGCATTCACAATATCGTGAAGCGAATTTTTCCATTAATCGGTCAATTTTCTGGGCTTCACCAGGAAGGCGAAATCCATCTAAGAACAGTCGCAGAGCAGTAACGAAATCTCGACTCGAAAAATCCATTTGGTCTACATAGGCGTACATCACTCGTTTGTTGAAGCTTGAATTTTCATAATTTTTAGTATCTAAAAATTCCTCAAATTCCTCAAAATAAAAATCCTCAACAAATTCATATACCTTCCAAAAATCCTTGAAAATATAACGATTCTGTAGTCCAAATTTTTATTAACTAAGAACAAAGAAAGCATCAAATTGAATGATCAAACAATGTCGCACTCATTCATTTCCTTCAAGCAACCAGAAGAAAATGATAAGGCAAAAGAATAGCGAGAAGAGGAACAAGAATTTTAATGAAATTCGTAAACTACTACAAATAACTTACTCATTACCATCTCCAAGATAATCACCAACAACGGTCTTATCCAATCGATCTTCATTGTGAAAGAATGCGGCAATATCTTCCGGTTTGGTACCTATTAACTGTCTTTCTTGTAAAAACTTCAAACCTTGACTAGTTCTTCGAGCGAATCTGAAATATGTAACGCATGAAAAATTCAAAATTTACTTCATTTTCTTCCAATAATTTTGATCTTCAAATATAAATTCTGCTAAATAATAATATAAGAAAGTAAAAGAAAATAAAATACTTACAGATGAATTCCATGCTCCATTGTTTCCTTTTTTTGCTTCAGCTGCTCAAACTGATGCACAGCTGAAGTTTGTAGCATCGCCGCTTCAGCCGATGATGCATCCATACTTTCCGTATCTGGAAGTATGGATACGAAAGTAATACCCCGAAAATACATTATCACCACAAATTTTTTTCCGATTAAAATGTTTAAAATCCTTTTAAACCAAAATATTTTAAATAATTCTCTGAAAAGCAAAAGTTTCCATAAACGATTTGCATTAGATTCACGTACATCATTACACGCACATGTAGAAACTGTTTTTATTATTTAAAATAAAAAGTTTGAATTAACCAATCCATAACTAGGTTTGAAGCAATTCTTTCTTCCAAAAATGATAAGACTGTAAAACTGAAAGTTTTAGATTTTTGAAAATTCCCAACTTTTCAAAAAAAAAAAAAATTTTCAAGTAAAACATTCTAAAATTTTATTCTGAAATATTTTCTCGAAAGTCCTTGTCAAAAATGAAGACAAACCATCAACAACAGGTCGACTAGAACTAATATCATCAAACCAATCAACCATACACTGCAAGCATTCAACTAAACATTCTAATCCCAGAATTCGCATAGATCGTTCACGTTGTTTTTGTAACACAGCAGCTGAACTTCCGTAATCAGATGTAGATCCTCCCTATAAATAGCAATTAAAATTTTCGCAAGCACTTAATTAAACTGTTTTAAAATATGTCGTCAGAAATATATTTCTCATTTTTTGCAAAATGTAGAATAGTGAAATTAGGCTAAATATTGTCATTTAAAAAATGCCCTTAAGAAATTTACGGTACAATCATCATAGCATTTTTTGTACAAGATCCAAAAAGTATAAAACTATTCATATTCAAACAGTCCATACAACGATCGCATATAAAGTCTTCGTAATAAACTTGCGCAAAGTATGTATTTGAGACGTAAAGAAATGCTACAGTATATATGTAAAACTATACAAGCTATCCGTAACGTTCACTTAAAAACCAGATAATTAACTGATGAGAATATTACAATTTTCGGGTATTTCTTTTAACAATTTTCCTGAAAGAGAAAATTTAACATACACACAAACCTGTGCAACTTTGAATAAACCATCAATGATACGCTCGAATATATTAGTTGCCGTAAGATCGCAATCATAATTCACATAAATATCAACCATACTTTGTGGATCTTCGCAAATCTTTTCCAACGTATTGATTACGATCCATTTGTGTTCAAATGAGCTTGAACTGCTTTCCAATATTGAGAATATTATTTCTTTGAAGAAAACCTGGAAAAGTTAGTGCTATTTACATTCGCATGTTTATTTTTATTGTATTAGTTGACTGATCGCAATCATAATTCACTCATGACACAAAACTTTTTTTTCTCTTTGTTCCACGGTATGCTGAAAAAAATTTTACAATTGTCAGCAGCTTGTTGCGCCAAAATTAGAATAAATATTATTAAAACCATAAATAGCCTAGCAATAAACTAGAATTAACTTATCACACCCAAAAAGTGTAACGAATTCATGAATTACTTGAAACTATCTGACAAAATGTGATAAGACATTTATAACTGAGATCAGAAACATAACAGGTTATCTTTATTTGCTAATGGAATAGTAATAAAACTGGATAAAATATGACATTGAATGCTCGTAATTATCTACAACAAATATTTCTATTCTTTTTAATCGGAGAAAATTTTGTTATGCACTCCATGTTTTAATTACTATGAATTTTTGTAAACTATTTCTAAATATTAAAATAGCTACGATACAAATGGTCTCCTTCGTATTTTTGTTTTGAGTAAAATATGGACTTGCCTCAATTTGCACCTTCAAGTGCATTTTGAATTTATTGACTAGTTGTACAAATATGGCTAATGATTTCTCGAAAACAGTAACAACTGGCGAAACACCGTTCCGTGAAAGTGAAACACATAATAAATGCCGTAATGCTAGTACAAAAGGCTGTGAGGAATGTATCAAAGATGAGGGATTCTGCACAATCAGCAACAACATTTCCAACGATAATTCTTTTGAACGTAATTCATGACTGCTAAAAAAAGCCGAATCATTCCTCAAAATGTGAATTTTAGAAATATATCTTACTTAGGAATTAGCCATCATTTCCACCTTATTCGAATAAAAATTTCATCTTTCCTTTTAAACAAAACATACTTCGGATCAGCTCGCTCAGGAATCGGTTTGATTGAAAGTCTGCAAAGTGCTCGAAACAAAAGGAATGCATCTTCTTCCTGCACAGTTCGGAAATGCAAGTGTGTGGATGGTACATCTTCATTGACATTTTCACCTGATTCTGCTGTTGATACTGGGTTCAACGCAAGCGATGATGATACTGATATTTCAGTTATTACTAACTAAAATATTCTATTCTACTTTTGGGTAAAATGTTTAGAGAGATGGTAAATTTTATATATTATATTTAAAATTAATTGTATGATTTATATAATAAGAATGTATGTCTTTAAGAAGAGCAAAACAACATACATTGAAAGTTGAATTCTGATGATTACTATGGTTTGATACCGAATCCGTATGCATTGATACTTGTTCTACCAAATACTTAACGACTGCTCGCACAACCTGATGATGAAATTGTCGGAAGTTCTCTAGTGTAATAAGGTTTAGAATAGATGATATATTTTTGAATAAAATATTTTAAGCTATATAACTGGTTAAAAAACTTTTGTTTTAAATAATTCTAATAACTCGAATCACAGCTTAAATTTAGAAACGACACTATTTACTTTTTCATCATTTTGGTGCGGCGATGAAGTTACATCTTCGGCATTCAATGTACTTCCAAAGACTGTATTAATTACCTTAAAATTCAATAACAATTTATTTCACATCGCCAAATAACACCAATAAATAAATTCATATACACAACAAGGAATCCGATTTTTTGACACTTTTATTACCTGTGTTAAGGAAGCTTTTGCAGTTGACTGGTTGATCGGACTTCGGCTAGCTAAATAAATATTAAAACATGTTCTAACTGCCAAAAGAAGCGTACCTCTATGTACTTCACATGTTGGTGCGAGTACAACTGCTAATATTGCCTGCAAATAAAATTAAACTGAAGAAAATTAAATATGATTAGTGTATAAATTATTGCATTAAAAGGATCACAAAAGCACAACCTGAGAGAACAAATAAAATTTTTAAAGTTATGTAATTTTTATAAAAAATTATGATGATAACAAAAACCACACTAATTTTTGCAAATTTTTAGAAGTTTTTAAAGAAGAAAAAATTCTTTCTCGAGTTGCTTGATGCAATATATCATTTAACACAGCACGATTATACCTTCGTACTACCTTCCAAACAAATTGTTCACAATAATAGTCGCCGCTAAGCCGTTTTATTTAATTCATCGCATGAAGTTATTAAGAAATGTCTCATACTAGCCTTCAAGATTTGCAGTTGAACACCTTCATCCGTATTTGGACCATAGAAAGGTGAACATATGGCTTCGACAATACGATCAATTAAAAGACGATCTGGATTTGTCACATCAATTCCACTACCCACCAAATGACCGTATGCAATTAATTTCTACAATAAATGCTGATAATATTGTAAGGAAAAGGAACAAACGAACAGTATCGGTACCACCACAACAATGATTCTTACTATGAATAAACCGGTCCACAGTGCCAGTCGTCTAAAATTACTTTGTTTTGATTTAACTTAGCTTTAGTGAAAAAATGATATATTTTTTTTTCAACTGAAGAATTTTATTCAATTTTTTTCATACTTTTTTTTCAATTGAAGAATTTTCAAATAAAGAAGATGAAAAATTAATTTTTTTTAATCGACCTGCAAACAATCAAGGGCGATAATAACAATTCGTGGTGATTTGGAATGGCAAGCAAGGTCAAAGGGCAGAAAGTATCGATCAGCATGTATAAAGTGAGCCTTTGATGGTAGTACGTTCATCGTGATATTATGGCCTTCATCCATCCCATCGGTACAGAGCTCTTCAATTGCTTGTTCGCATGCTTTTCGTAATTGAGCATGTTCCTGAGAGAAGATTTAAACAAAAAGAGAAAAACAATTTTGACTCAAAATCTAACTTATATACTGAAATATACCGGCAATTAATAGGGTAGAAATTAAATAATTTGAGATTATAGAACTTAGAATAACACCAACCTTCTTCTTGATATCACGGTCGGCCAGTATACGTCCAATGGCATTTCGTAGGAACATAACAGCTGCTTTCCTTAACTCATTATTCATATCAAAAGCATTTTCGTTCTGAAATATAGCGGTAGTATCATCAAATCATAAAGAAAACAACAATGAGTACACATCAAGCAATAATGAATATTGCCATATCTTAGATGCCACATAAAAACGAAGTGCCAATCCATTTCAAACTTCAACCCCACATGCAGCCTTCTCATGCGGAAAAACGTGAAATGCTTTTACGCGTCTCACCACGTTTCACCGAAAGTTGCAAATTATAATACGGACAGATTGTGCTGCTTTAGTTGTCCCGCTCCAGTGGTCTGACGAAATTGGTGAAATTAATATTAAAAGTGAAAAACTATTTCACACATCTGTTACGCATGTATGGTAATCTTTTGTGCCTAGTAACTGCTTGTAAATTCCTATGTTAACATTTAGTAAAAACTAATATATAATAAAATGGTGTTACAATGACGAAATTTTAATCATTTCTATATCACTTTTACTTGAGGTAACGTCAGACTTATGTGTATTTGTGCTGGTAAAAATTCGAAGTTCGATAAATCCGTTAGCTTCGCAGGGTGATAGCATATTGTACATGCTGCATTCTATCTTGATGCTAAGCGTGGAACTGAACTTTCTGGCAACCTTTGATCGACTTAAATATATGTTACTCCTTCTTTGTAAATGATAATTGGCTGACACATACTATGCAATTTTCCATTCGTTATCATTTGATTGCAAATTTTATGCCAAGGAAATTTTTAATTTAAATCAAAATTGGGAATACGTGTCCAGTGCCGGTACCGCTGAGACACTCGGTGTAATGCATTTTACAGTAATTTTACTCTGATTTCCGAAAAGAGATAGATTAACTTCTATCTCTGGTCACTGATATGATGAAGCTATTGACCTCAGTGAGATTTTTCATTAGCATTCCCAGAAAGAAGTCTGAGCAAAAGAACGAGCACCAAAATAAAAGCAAAGCGATGAAATTAATAAAATCTTGGAGTAAAAATTTCAATTTAAATTTGTCCATCATTTTCTTTCTTTTTTTAATCAAAATTTTGATAAAAAATTACTGACTTCGAAAGTTATTGGAGAAATGAAAATTAAGAGATTTGATACTTTCTGTCATTTTACTGATATCGTCGAAGAAAGGTATGGGTGCGTTTTGTAAAATTAAGTACTGAGTGCGCCCTTTTGATATTGTAAAATATTTCTACTGTCCGTCTTTCTCGTTCTTTTTTTGTTCTTTTTGCTTTGCCTTTTCAATTCAACATTTCTAATTGATTTATGGTTGTTTATGCGAATAATCTGTGGTTAAGGAAAGTGGTGAATTATGGGTCTGTACAGGGAGGTATGACTGAATTTTTACCCAATTAATATTTCGGAGTTAGACATCCAACAGTGATACGATAAGATCAGTACAAGTCATTCGTAGTCTAAGCGATAAGATTTGATAAGCCCTTTTTGGTTGAGTATTGTTTGTTAAATGGAGTGAAATGTAAATTATTTCTCCAACAAAAATGAACATTAATTTCCATTTTTTATTACTTTCCAGAAGTAGAGTTATCACAATGCCAGAACTGAACTTACAGTCATCTTACATAATACTTTATAGTTTCGGTGGAAAGAAATCAATGCAGCTAAATTTCAAGAAAGATAAATTTTTCACTTTATAAAACTCAATGTCTTTTTAGAAAGGAGTATAGCGAAATAGAATTACGAAAAAAGCAGTGCTATATGCTCAAATTTTCAAGCTGTAAATTGATTTGCTATTGACGATTTCTGATTTTGTTTTGAAAGGATTTAAACGTAATGACAGTCATTTAAGTGCAGGTATTAAAATAACCTTTTTTGACCTCAATATAAGCACAATGCTATCTTCGAGAAACAAGTTAAATATGTTTTTCACAGTTTTTGTATAACAAATAGTGCATTTTGGTTTCATGTTAGAAGAATGCTGATCAATGTAACTAATCTGACGTCAACAGAATCGAGTTCATTCAGCTGTTATTGTTATTTTCTTTCCAAAGTTTATTTAACAAATTTGCATATTTTATAAATTTCAAATTTGGCGAGGAGCACTAAGCGATGCCTGTTGTGAAGTTAGCAGTACAGTATCGATAAATAGAGGAAAATATGTGTGACAGTGATAATGTTTGGTGCTGGTTGATGGTAACTGCTGCTTATTGGTACTGTATCTGTACTGTAATGATGGATGAATATCAATGAGAAAATGAAAAATCATTCTCTCTTTCAGATTTTTTGCTATCTTTCATTTTTGTTTTTTCCCACTGATTATTTATTTCATCGCGCTGTGGCAGCACTTTCAACCGTTCTGTCACACCGAAATATTTCTCAAGAGTTTTGCAAAAGACTAATGCTCTAAGATGTTCCGGTATTGTCTACTGCTAATATTGTGCAGAAATTTCTTTTATCAAGGTCCCCGGTGATATTGATTTTCGATAAGGATTCAGAGAGCAGTAAATCTGCAGTTTAGTGACGAACGACATTTGGAAATAACAGTTCAAATCATCAAAATCAACGGATCAGATATCGCGTAAATGCCACTACATATGCTTTTACATAAGTTTAAAATCATTTCAAACTAAACTTTTGACTTATTTTTCGTTTGTTATTACTATTTCTACGCCGGAACGTTAGCAAAGTGCAAATGCGAACATCATACTCAGCGTTAAAATCACATGGTTATCAATCGACTTCTTTCAATGTTTTATTGTTTTATTAAATGTTATAAATTCCATTCTCGAATCTGTTTTTTGTTTGCATTCTTCGAATATCAACAATATAGTAATGTTACATCTTTCCTCTTTAAACAAAAAATTCCCAATTGCCTTATCTATTAATGCACGAAATATTCATGAAATCATTACCGAAAAATGCACAAGTATTCACCATTTGTTGCCCAGAAGATATTATGATGTGATGAGATTAATAAGCAAAAATGATCATTATTATTATTATCACAACCACTATCACGTATTGCGGCCCGATAGTGTTGATTAAATGAAACGTCTGTGTTGATCATCATCACTATCACCATTCTCATTATCACTGCTATCACCGCCATCATTGTCATTAATAACAATGAGCAGCCATATCGAGCAACATGAGAGCGAACGACACGAGTATCAATCTAACCTGTTTTAATCGTTCCCATCCCTTCCAAACTACACCATCTCTCCGCTCGGGTAAGTGATCATTATTTATATACGTATATACTATCTGTTTGTCTTTTCGGGTAGAAGGAAGCATTCCGGGTGGGTACAAACGGACAGGAGGGGAGAGAGGGGAGGGTGCAGGTGATTATCTCTTTTCATTATCATTAACAAATTGTCGTATAAACACCCGCAAACAACAACAGTAAATTTGTGGAATGTGATATCATTTCTTTCCTCTCTTCGCTTTTTGTTCAGTTGCGTTCACGGCTTCCACCAATTCTCCGTTCTCTTCACTACTATGCACAAACTTCTCTCACATCTTTTCCATCATTTAACGCTTCATAAATAATTTCAATTACTTTTCAACAACCCTATGTAAATTTTGATATAAGTCCGTGTAGGTGAAGTTATTTCATTCTTTTCTAGCTCGAAGTTTGCAGAAAATTTGTGATTAAAAGAGAGCTTTTATGTTCTGAAGCTACTGGTGGTGACGTACGTCCTTCCATGAGAATGATCGTTTTATCCCACCCTTTTGACCAGTAGTCTGAATGATAGTTGGAAGAAATTGGAACATTTGCATGATCATACCTCGCTGTACACCATTACATTCCCAAATCAAACTTATCATGGGTACTTCTCCTCAGCAACTGTAAATTTGGTTTCAAATTTCTTTCAACATACATTTCTGAGAGAGTTTGTTTAAATTACTCCTTGCAATGAGGTAGCTGATTGAAAATAAACTCGGGTAAATAAAATAAAGCATACACACAGATCCGCACTTACTTTATTTGCATGTTATGCATTTCACACTGTGCAAAACTATTCGCCGCATGAACAAGTTAGTTTGAAATTTCAGGTCCTCAAATCCTCTCTGCAAGCGTTCTATCGCCGGAAGTAAACTGTTTATTTATTTATCGAAGTACTGTGTGTATTTATGCGTGTGTTCGCGTGGATAACAACACGTCGATTTACATCAATTACGACTGTTTCCTTTTTTCGCTTAATATCTCTGAACTTGCCACAAATTTCCGCAACATCTTTCAGTGAGCTTCATTCACCCATAAATTGAGGCCACGCAAAACTATCTGTTTGGGAATTGAGAACCGAGAAGTATTTATGTCAACAAATAACTATTGAAGCAAGTAATCATCTAACATAACTAAAAAAAGCAAAATTGGCTTGAAAAATGAATGAGGCAAGTTTAGCGAGTCCGAAGTGGTCATCGATCGACATTTAATAATTAAAAATTATAAAATTTGAGGAGAAAAAGAAGAATGAATTTCAGGAGATATTCAAATAAGGAATGCCCAATTTTAGTGCAGACAAACAGTAGCCAACCCTCATAACTATAATAACGGGAACAGACGGATCACATCGGCGACAACAACATCATTATCACGTTAGCGACTACTGCTGCCACTGCTAACATAGTGCAACGATTGAAATTGAATTGAACCTTTGAGACGATCACTAGAAGAAATATTCGTCTCTCCCTTCTTTTTTTCTTCCTCAGCGACGACGACAACGACGACGAGGACGACGACGACGACAACGAGGACAATTTCCTGGCTGCTATCATTTCAACTGAAAGAGAAACAAGAAAAGGTTGGGGGGAAAAGAATTTTTTGTGTGATTGTGTGCGAAAATTGAAAATTTCTACTTGAGCATTTGCGCGCGCACAGATCACGGCAAAAGATTACGGAGAAAAAGTTCCTCCACATTTTCTCGTGCTACGACTGCCTCAGTGAACCGCTGAGATTGCTGTGTTCATCGGTAGGATCACCGTCACTGTTATTGTTATTATTCCCAACACATCATTATCAATTCCAGCATCCTTCACTGTTTCATTTCCATTCCGCCAGCGTGCATTCGGGAAAACCAGAAAGGAATTAGTCCTCATTTTTTCCTGTCATATTTTAAATTTTGCTTCTGCTATTCTACTATCACAACAACTACTACTTCCCGTAACTCCGTCCTGTTATGTTATTCAGTTTGCAATCAATTTCTAACAGATTGATATTGAACGCGGAAATTTGAATTTCAGTTATACCCATCATATAACAACAGTTCCTGTCGTTCCAACTTTCTGCTTTTCGTGGTGTTTCATCCCGACGGATAGTGCGGATCTTCTAAAACTTTCCACGTTCCGCCGCAAATTTTCTCTTTTTCCGTTTGGTTTAGAAGAAGAAGGAAAAAACAAATCACTAATTTTATTTGTTATAAAGATTTGTTGGCAAACTTCTCGCCTCCCAACCAATCATTTGTTGTTTTTGACTTGTCAACGATACTTTTCTGTCCCAATTTATATTTACTTTCTCTGTTTCGCTGCTTCTCTCAGTTAATCTTTGTCTTAAATAAACTCAATTGGCATATATGTGAAATTATTTGCTAACTTATGCAATGCAATTTGGTATATTTTAAAGTGGATTAAATAATTCAAGTCGAGAAGCCATATCATTTCGATCACTTATAGCTGCAGTTAAAAGGAATATTTCCATAATAATACACTGTTCTCTGTTTTCTCCTATCCCGCGACGCTGTTTGGGAAAATAGACAAGTATTCAAGGATTTCACTAAAATAAAGCAAATCACCTCGGGAACTGTGGATCAGTCAACAATCACACCAATTAAGCAATAAAGAAATACAAACGGAACAAAACTGTTTATGATAGCGATAAACTAAACCCAATGCGGGTTCAATGCCTGCCAACAACCGTTATTATTATTATTTTTCTCTTGCTAGCCGGTATATCATATCCGAAACGCAGAATACATCCAACAATGGTAGTTGTGGGTGTTAATGCTGCGCCAGCAATCAGGTCAGAATCAATGGTATCCAACGATTTAGACAATTTACGCAGGTATTTTATATCATTTATTAAAAGAAGCTATTCGCTTGTTAGAGTCGTAAAGTGACTTAGTGGCGAAAACTCACACGCAATCACTCACCAAGCGCTGATTGGTCATATCGGCTTGTCATGATGAAGTCTGAACGGCCAGTGATAAGAAATTGTTGAGGTACCAGCAGGTGTGCTGCGATGTCACGTCAATTATGAGATATTATGAGAGCTTCTCTAGCTTCAATGATTAAATTTAAAATACCTTTTTTATCGTCCATACCTCCGTCTATTTGTCCTCCTCATCTTTTCTTTGCTGTTGGTTCGGAATTTAATTGATATATTGTAACCAGTTCTGACCAGCTGTCTCGATATGAAGTTCGAATCACATTATTTTTCCCTTGATTATTCTTTTCCTGAATTCGTATTTTGTTCATAGTTCTTTTAAAACAGTGGCGAAAGATGATGACTTTGTCGATAAGTTTCTCAACTTTTGTTTTTGCCGGTTCAGCAGTCCTGATAATTATATTGGGCATCTTCAGCAGATTACGACATCACTTACTCTTCACTTTACGTGACTGCTTTTGGAAGGAATTTGTTAAGTGAATGAAGTCAGAAACCATTTTACATAGCAATTTGTTAATTTTTCTATCTCTCATTTTGAGCTTACCCTTCCCTTTTCATTCTTTTTCATTCTCTAGCAAAATTAATTTCATTGAAATGTTAAAAATAGAATGTGAATCTGTTTTACAGGTCAATAGCAGTATTACGCCATGCGGTCGGTAATTCAATTGCCGGTTCAGTGCTCCGTTTACCTTCATCTCAGGTTTCTTCTTTTAAATTATTCATATTTTTACTGTCAAAAAAAGGGCCAAAATATACTTCTTACAAATAGAAGCCAACTGGAAATATATGATGGAACCATCACTCTTTCATGTAATTAAATGGAAATAATGATTTTTTTGTGTGCAGTGCAGAAAGAAGAAAAAATTTCGGTATTATCACTAGGGAGAATCTGGTGATTGATAGCAGAGATTCCTTGCTGTCCCTTTCTTTCTATCGTAATATATCGGTAGCGGGTAACTAAACTGCTCGATGAGAGTGGCCCGAATAATATCGACGACATGATGGCTGCTGTCCTCTCGTCGCTCCCTATCGTATCTTTCAGTTAAAATTTACACATCTCAGAGACACTCTAAACGCATACCAACATATTTTATCCAAAGAAATGATATGCTTGGCGGAAAAAGAAAGTTATCATAACATTTCATTCTGGGCCCTTCCTTCGTCATCTCATATTTAACCAACATGAATTTACATCAATATCTCAATTATTTTTGCTTGAAATAGTAGTTTTTTTCAAGTTTCAGGCAAGCACAAATCATTCGAGGATTAAATTCTAAAAATCTAAAATAGTAAGATTAAGAAGTTAGATTTATGAATTTTAAATCATAAATATTGTACTACCAACTTTCTCTCAGCTCTTCTTTTTCCAATCAAGTTTCCACGAATTTTTAAAATATTTGACGGGTAAGTAATAAATTTCATAGACTAAAAATTTCTATTGTACGTGTAAAATTTTTCCATTAATATAATATTAGAACCAATAAATTACTACTTTTTACATCACGCAAGAAACTTACTTGGTTGCTAAGAGTAACAATGAGTATGTGACAGTTGCATACTGTGAACTAATTTTTTGCTTACAAAAACAAAATATTTGAGGCGTATTATCTTTTCAGAATCACACCTAAATCGGAGTCAGTTTTTTTAAAAAAAGGAAAAAAACAATATTCTCAATAAATTTGCAAATTTTTTGATTTATATATA